AAAAAAAAAAAAAAAGAAAGAAAAAGAAAAAGAAAAAAATGTGAAATGGCATCAAAAATTTAATAGCATTTACAGTTTAATTTTTCCTTATACTTCTCTACACTCTAAAAAACCAATTGAAGGCAACATTTGTTTATGCATTCTATAATCTAAAAGCTCCACTCTACTTACCCACGGTCATAGTTGGACTAAACAGTCCCAGCGCTGACAGGCTAGAATAGTTAACCAGGTCTTCATACAATTCTCCATTTAAATATTCTTCTGCTTCTTGTACTGATGCTATATTCACTGGACATGAGATCCTGTTGCTGGATGAACACATAGTTAGATTTACAATTAATTTTTAGAACCTTTTTAGTTGTTTAAAAACATTTGAATTTACCAATTTATTATACAAGATTGATTAATAAAACAAATATTCCTTTAAAAAGGCCAGCTTCATGGGGCTGGGGAGACAGCTCGGTGGACTAAGCATCTGCCTGACAAGCACACGGACCCAGGTTTCATCCCTGGTACCCCACATGCTGTGCCTACCCCAGAAGCCTCGGTGTGCCATGCCAGCCACAGAAACAGGGTGTGGTGGCACACCCCTATAATCCCAGGGCTGGGGAGGCTGTGACAGGAAGAGCACTACAAATCCAAGCTGCATAGTGAAATCCTATACCAAATAAATAAATAAATGATTTTTAAAAAAATTTTTAAAAATCAGTTTCATTAAGCAAAATCACTATTTCTCCAAAAGTGATCGAATGTACACACACCCTTCTTATAAATACTTACTGTGATCAATTCTAGCGAACTCCCTCACCTATTCAAAATAATCAATCAAGTAGGAGAATCAGAACCTCTACACAGTCCCAAATTTAGAACCCTTACCGTGAAGCTAGGTACTTACAGCTGGATGAACTTCAGGAGCCCTTCCGGCCCCAACATACCAGCGTAAGACACAGGGTTCTCACCCTTCTTGTACATCTTTACAGCAGGAAATGCTGTAACATTTTGCTTAGAACACACATCAGACCAATCTGCACAGTTTATTCTAGCAAGAAGCACAGCAGATGTGCCTAAATTGAAGGAAAACGCACATTTTAAAACAAGTATTAATGTAGTCATCTGCTTAGAATGTTCAGTATCTTACTATCCTGTTCATATTTTAACCTCTCAGTATGAAAGATTTCTGCTGAAATACCATTCCTTGGATTTTCGTAACACCCCCCTCCGCTTAGCTTTTCTCCTGTTTCTCTAGCTTCGCTTTTTGGTCCTCTCTTGGGGGACTTCTGTTAGTGGGGCTGGGAGTTCCTCAAGGCTCTGCTTAAACTGTCTCCTTGCTCTGCTCTCAGCTCCTAGACAGTGTCAACAACCATTAATCATCTACGGAATCCTGCATCAGTATCTATGGGCCTGGCTCCTCCAGGCAGTTTCAGGTCTATGTATCCTTAACAGCCTTCTCTGCTTCCTGACGGAATCATCCTCAAATCCCATGAAGTCTAAAACAAACCTGGTTTCTTTGCGGGGTCTCCTGGAGAAGGCTGCTGCTCCTACGCAGTGCAGAACACAATGCTACCTTCGGCATGCCTCCCATTCCTAAGGCCCCCGTGGCTGACCTATTAGTATGTCTTTAATTCTGCCACTTAAAGTTTAAATGCCTCTCACTACTGCCCGTCTCTACTGTGTCAGGACTCCTGCTAAGTAAATGCAATAGGCTTCTAGCTCACTTCCCTCAACTCAGCGTCTCTACAGTATACTAGGGTTACCTTCTCAAAACCCACACGTGTTCTGGCATCAGGGCACTCCCCACCCTGTCTTGGGACCGCTTCCCCACACCCAAGCTTTGAGGAGTGAGTCAGGCCGGTCTCTCGAGGTGTGTCTACATCAGGGCCTCCTGATGCATGCTGGGACAGGACCACCCTCCTCTCCTGTCCCCTGTGGGGTCACGCACTCATCCACGGGGCAATCTGATTAATGTCCATCTCTACCCAGAGAGGTCCTCAAGGGGGGGGGGGCTGTGTCTCTGCCCTTCCTCATTTTTTCTCAACATCTACAGCGATCCTCGCACATGAAGCACCTTTGATGAGCCAATGATAAATGACGTAGCTGACACTCACCTAGGGCCTCAGAAACCCACTCCCTGCTATATACTGCAATCTTTCTCAGTTTAAAACAATGCATAGTGGAACCCAATGCATAATTCCTAATGTTTCTGTCACAAGACACATGCAAATTTCTCTGAAATATGTAATTCAGAGTGAAATCAGATAAACACCCAAATAAGTAAATAATGAAAAGTGACAAAGCTGCTCATAGTGAACTTACTATTTTAAAATGCTTATTTTCTTTTCTGTAAAATGGTTTCAGTATTTACTCCTATTTTAATCTCAGTAGTCTAGCTACCAAAAGGGAGAAAGAAATTCCAATAAGAGACCAACCGTAGTATCATGTTCGATCAAATAAGAAACATCCATCTTCTATGTATATAAACTGGTATGTCCTCTATCAGCTCTGGATACAGTCTAAGTATAACTTAACCATATGGTGCCAATTTAAAATGTAATAGTTTACTACTACCAGAAGTTTTCAGTGATGAAAACTCATCTTTATATTTCAAGTACTCTTGATTATACTTCACGGGGGCAAAAATTCATCACTTCAGATTTAATGCTAGCACCGCTAGCACAACATCTCGTCAACACGAGACTCCCGGTGCTTTGCACAACATCCACTGTGCAGTGTTTACTCGGGGAAAATGCAGGGACTGTAGACTGGTATTTCTTCATAAGAAAATTTAAATTTTAAAAACTAGCGCCTGCTTAGGCAGAGCGCAGTGGCCAGGGTTCAATCTGCAGCGTGCTGAGCTGGTGATTGAGACAGGGTGTGGTGGCGCAGGCCTGTAATCCCAGCTCTTGGGAAACTGAAAACAGGAGAATCACTATAAGTCAGATCAATGGAGTGAGACACTGTAAATCTTGTAGACCCTGTCCTAAATACAGAAAAAAATAAATAAATTAAAATAAATTTTAAAAATATATATCAATACCTGAATATTGTATAAGCATCTAAACAAAGAGTAGTCTTTATTCTTTCCAAAAATCCTACATCACTACTTTACAAAGTTCTCTTATCCTGTAATCAAGCCATCAATAAATACGTGGCCATGAAGGGTCACATGATCACCACGTTCGGGGTGCCAGGCCAGCGCACACCCAGCTATTTCCCTCCCACAAGTATCTACAATACATCCACCTCTGTTAAAAATGTTGATGGCATTTCATCTCTACAAAATGGAAAGCTCTGATGTTACACTTAAACCTGGAAAAAGAACACTGCTGCTTGTTAATAAAAGCTATAAGGCTGCTGAAGTAATTCTAATTTTTATTTTCTATAAAATGTACTATATTTTAATCTGGTGTATTATTGTGAACATCTATCATAGTAGACCCATATCTTGTCAGTGTATTAATTTCAAACAAAATTCCTAATTTTAATTAAAAAAATAGAGTCTCTTTGCTACAGATACTATGTTAAGTATAAAAATTTGACATTTGCTGCCACCTTGTGACTGAGGAAAAAAAAAAACTTCTTCATTGTTTTAAACTGAGATGAAAAATGGTTTTTTCCCAAGTAGTCAGCATGAAAGGTTATAGGCTAATGTCCACAACACTACAATGTTTTCTAATTTACAAAATTTTAGCATAGGGTGAGCACCCTTAACCTGAAAACACAATATCCAAAGTGCTTCAAAATCTGAAATTTCAAATTAAATATCATAAATGAAAAATTCTATACCTAAGCCTACGTGAGAGATAACAGTCAAAACATAAGTGCATAAGAAATACCACATAGGGCCGGCCAATTAGCTCAGCCGACTAAAGGGCCTGCTTAGGCCATGCCCGCCCCGCCCCCTGGCTGCTGAGACAGGGATTGAGACTGGGCGTGGTGGCATGTGCCTATAATCTCAGTGCTTTGGAGGCTGAAAACAGGAGGATCACTGAGTCCAATCTACATAGTGTGACACTGTAGACCCTGTACTAAATAAATAAAAAGAAATACTACATAAATGCACCTTCATAAATATCTTATGTGGATAGCAGATAGATGAAATATAGATGAATCCTGTATTTACATGTGGACCTATCCCAAGATACCTCATTATATATATATGCAAATATCTAAATTCTGAGAAAATCCAAAATGCTCCTGGGGCGATGCATTTCAGATGAGGGGCACTTAACCTGTATAGGTTTCAGTGTAGACACAAAATACGATAGCTATTTCTGTCATGTATTTTAACAGTAAGCCCCATTCCAAAATTCAAAAGTAGTCTATTTCTCTGACTTCTAATTACTAATAGGATTGTTATTCACAAACACCATACTGAATAAAAAAGGAAAGCAAGTCCTGGGTTGTTTTTATTATACAAACACAACTCAAAACTAAATACTGGATCACGTTCCCAGAATAGCCAAGAATAATAAGCCTATTTAACTATCACAGGATCTAGTTAAAAGATGAAGAGGGCAGGAGAAAGGTCATCATACAGACACGAAATGTGGTACATTCTGTTTTATTCAAAGGACTTTGAAACTATGCACATCTAATCTATCGCTAGCGCTTTTACCAACAGGCCTCCCATTTGTATGTCTTCACTGGAACAATGTCATACACATTTTGATTTAAAGTCCAATCTGAATTTTGCCTTACCTATCACCAGATTAGGCTTTGCAGAATAAATAAAAATATTTGCCATTAAGGAATAACCTAGTCCATGAGGAGCTTAACTATATACAGCTTCAAGAACACTGGAATCTTTCATCTTCCATTAGTCTGCGAGACTACATCACACCTACGAAAAAAATTCTTTTTTATTATTTCCAGTATTTAATAGAGACTGGCATGGAGTAGGCTTAATACATGGGCCTTCTATTTCCACCAATCACGGTCTTATGAGGTAATCAAAGTGGATACAGCTGAGTGTGTCTGATATTCTGAATTTATTTACTGACTTAACCTTTTGGAGACACAAACCTAATAACTTGAAATTTTATGTGGGTCTCTGCATCTTTAGTACAACACAGTTTAACAAAAAGCTACAGCTCAGAATCAGGAAAATGAGCATGCGCACGACAGCATAATACCTTTCAATTTAACTGCCACATCAATATAGGACTGCAGAAAGGCCATGGATACCGCTTGCCCTGTATTAAAATTTTTAAAAATGTCAATAGATGCTGCAACACACACATTTCAAAAGCTTTCATACTTATACTCAACAAACATAGATTTATGGATTTTTGCAAAAGTGCTATTTCCAAATAGTATAGATTACTCAATACTGTCCCGCCCCTTAAAAGGTTTCTCAATGCAACTATCCTTCTGCATTCGCATCGCAGGTAACATGCTCCCTTCGGCAGGATGTACACTAAAAGTACACAAGCAACACAGCTGAATGGCTATCATATGAAGACAAACGCAACACATCACCTGTAAATCTATACTAATCGCTAACATTAAAAACCATTACTTTGAACCACACTACTTTTAAAAATTATTTAGTTGAATACCTGACTAAACCATTAACCTTTCATTTGTCAATTACACATACAGAGCACATCCACGGGATGAAACGATCAGTTTCACCCCTTTAGGACCAGACAGAACTAAATGGACCAAACCATACTGCAGTGTGCAGTAGGACACATAAGAGCTGACAATGTGCCACAGAATGGAAAAAATTAAGTCAACTTTAAATATCTGACTATGTGACACGGTCTCTGCTAAGGACTCAAACTCACAGCCTGCATAGCAGAGGACTCAAACTCACAGCCCGCATAGAAGAGGACTCAAACTCACAGCCCGCATAGAAGAGTACGACGCTGTCGGAAGCCACCACCGTCGCGTTAAACGTCTCTTCTGTGAGTTCCACGGTCAGTTCCAAAGGTAACTCCCTCTTCCTATCTCTGTAAACAGTCTCTGCTACTTCATCATCTTGAATATCTAAAATGTTTAAAAAGAAATAACTGTGAATGCAGATTTCTACTTAAAAGTATTTAAGCTATTCTCGTAAGCAAGCGTGTGAAAATTCCATATTTTATAAAAATTCCTGAACTCACACTGGCTAACTAGTTGAAATGAATGATGATATTTAGGAAACTCTCCTAGTTGCATGGCTTCCTATCTTAAAGGACCCAGAGATGCCTTCTGACCCAGAAATGTCAAGCATAGTTAATGCCAGAGGTAATTACTTACCTTTGCTCTACAAATAATATAAATATTTCACTACCCTGTTTTATTTCTAATCACCGTAGTAATGATTAATCCCCAAAGACTGTACTGTCCATATTTTGATAGTTGTAGCTTCTGCTGTCTGCCAAATACTGGTGAACACACGTGCCGATAACATAGCTCTAGACGCTGACCACCAGGAACAGCCAGCCAATGAACCGATTGATGAATACACATGCAACTATAAACTCTTACCAATTTATGAAAGAAGGTAAAAGATAAGTGAGACTGCAAAAGGGAAACTTGGATTAGGAAAATTCACAATCTGCCAGGTAGAAAACGAAGAATGTTTTAGATGAAGACAATGACGAGGAGGACAAGTAGGCTGAGAAATTTGGATTTTATCCTAACTGTATGAAATGATGGGCAGATTCTGAATATGTCAAACTCTCTCACTCATTTAGATAGACTAATCAATAGATGGATAGATTGCTTGATCATAGATCCATCTGTAAATATGGTAAAAAAAAAAAAAAAAAAAAAACGAGAGCGCAGGCCCGGAGAGTGAGAGAGACGGCCCAGGGCCGCTGGATCCTGAATAGACCCAGAGCGCAGGCCCTGTGAGTGAATGAGATGACCCGGGGCCCGCAGATCCTCACTGGACCCAGAGTGCA